AGATATTCTGTTCCTCAGACAATATACATTTTTTTGTGTGTCGATGAAACACTAAGCCTTGCCCCTGATAATACAGCAACAAAAAAACTGAATCCTGTATCAGTCATGAAAAAAAAATATATTTTTAAAGAGGTGAAATCTAACAGATCAACTGATTGTAAGTCAACAGAACTAGTTATATATTATAAAATGACAAAAATACTTATTTACATGGCAATTAAGAAATATTTACTAGACAGAAAATGGATCATAAAGAAAATTTAAAGCAAAATTGCAAGCTACAGAGAGAAGAAAGGAACAGCTAAGACTAAACCTAGGGCACATAGTGAAATCTTGCTCAGAGGATAATTTATAGCTTTATATAAATTCATTTTTAAGGAGGAAAGATAAAAAATAAAGGAACTAAACATTCATCTTAAGATATTTGAAAAAGAGCAATAACCAAAGAGAAAAGGAAATTAACAAAGATACAAATTTACACAGAAAACTAAAAAAAAAATAGAAAGGATAAATCAAAACATGGTTCTTCAAAAGACTAATAAAATGGAAAAATACAACCAAAGTCTGCTAAGAAAAAAGAAGAAGAGAAGAAAGCTATCCAAGGATTGAAATGAGATAGGAGATAGAATACATATAAAAACTAAAAGAATTTTTATAATATCTTTATTTTATTTATTTTTATAATATCTTTATTTTATTTATTTTTATGTGGTGCTGAGGATCTAACCCAGCACCTCTCATGTGCCATGCAAGCGCTCTACCACTGAGCCACAGCCCCAGCCCCAAATTAAAAGAATTTTAAGAGACTGCTACAAGAAACTTAGGACCAACATATGTGAAACCCTAATGAAAAGAGATGATTTTTTTGTAGAACATAAATTAATAAACCGATGCAAGAAGTAGAAAACCTGAACAGATCAATTGCTGCAGAAGTGATTGGAAATGCAATTAAAAATCTTCTCAGATTGACTCTGTAACCATGTTTATCTGAACTTTAACACAGATAATTCCTGTTGCTCAAACTACTCTAAGCTATAGAAAAAAATGAAGGACAACCATTTTGTGAACCAACAAAACTGTAATACTAAAACCTGATGAAAGAAGAATAGAGAATCAAAACTGAGCATAATGGTGCACACCTGTAACCCCAGTTGCTCAGGAGGCTGAGGTAGGAGGATCTCAAGTTTAAAGCCAGCCTGGGCAACTTAGTGAGGCCCTGTCTCAAAATAAAATGAAATAAAGGGCTGGAAGTATATCTCAGGGATAGAGTATTTGTCTAGCATATGAGAGGCCCTGGATTCAATCCCCAGCACAAAAAATAAAAAGAATAGATAATTATAAAGTAATCTTACTTATGAATGGATGCAAATTTGTAAATGAAATTTAACTTTGGTTAAATTTCACATAGTGACAGAAATATTTACCACTATCTTCTCCCAAAACCGTAATAAAACTACAGCAAAATTATTAAGGAGGCATAAAGCTGAAGGACAAAAGGAACAGGAGTGACGGGGCTTAGTACATGTGAGGTCCTGGGTCCAATCCCCAGCCCCTTCCTCCACTACCACCCCCAAAAGAAAAAAAGCAGAAGAAGCAATGGCCCCACAATTTTGGTAGTTTGAAAACAGACATACAAATGAAAACTGGCAGGGCAGACCATAGAAAGCCGGAATGCAGACCAGAAGTGAGTTCGCCCCCAGAAAAGTTCAGAACTTACAGGAATCAAGTGAAAATGGGGGTTCCAAGAGGAGACGAAAAACAGGAAAATTAACAAAAAAAAATCTATACAAGATGCAGAGTTGGGTGCTGTGGTGCACACCTGTAATCCCAGCAATTTGGGAGGTTGAGACAGGAGGATTAAAAGTTCAAATCAGCCTCAGCAATTTAGTGAGACCCTGTCTCAAAACAAAAAATAGATAGATAGATAGATAGATAGATAGATAGATAGATAGATAGATAGATAGATAGGGCTGGGGATGTGGCTCAGTGGTGAAGCACTCCTGGGTTCAATCCTCAGTACCAAAAAAAAAAAAAAAGGCTCCCAACCTCAACCTCACTTTACAAATACAAAGTGGCCCTCTACCTTTTCTTGGCAGAAGACTCTGGAGAGGTGGAAATAGAGGGATGCTGGACCAGGCATGCTGAAGCAAGGAATCTAAATGAAAAATAGATATTAGGTGGAAGATTAATTACAGAAAGGTGGGGCCCTTGTTGTCTTCTGTGCCTTACTTACTGCTTTACTAGAAGCCATGTTTATCCCTCCACAGAGGGAAAGGAAGGAATTCTTGTGTGACCTGACCAACCCAGAAGAAAAAACCCCTAAAGGTACTGACAGTTAGAAACCCTCAAGGAAACAGACAGTGGTGCAGGGAGACCAACCATTAACAGGTTTCCCCACACTTGCTGAACTCCCAGTGATCTGTTTGGTGCATCACTTAAACATAAGCAGAAAACCAAGGATCACAGACATGTTAGGAAAGGTAATGTGAAAGAGAAAGAGAGAGAGAGAGAGAGAGAGAGAGAGAGAGAGAAGAAAAAAGAAGTTTGTAGAGGGAAAAAGAAAAAAGTAACTGGGTGTCGTTATGCATGTCTATAATCCCAGCTTCTTGGGAGACAGAGGTAGGAGGATTGCAAGTCTGGGCAATATAGCAAGAACCTGACCCTGCCTCAGGAAAAATAAATAAATAAATAAAAAGTTAAAAACAAAATAAAACAACACAACAACAACAACAAAAACACAGAAGGGTGAAGCCAGAGGATTGATAAGCTCAGGAGAGAGAGATTTTAGTGTGCTATGCTGCTGTCCCCACCAAGTAGTGGAATTTTGCCTATGTATGGCCCACACTCTAATGTAGGTAACACAGTGAGGCCTTAACTTTTAAAATAAATTTCAAAAGAAAGAAAGAAGAAAAAAAGCTGCCAAATTTTTTTAGAGAAATCTTGGGGATTAAAAATGATAGTAGAAGAGAAAGATTTGTATAAGAGTTGGAAGTATTATTATATTTAGCAAACTTTAGGACTACCAGTTTAATTTGAATTTCAAACAAGCAACAAATTACTTTTGAGTATAAAGATATCCCTTGCAAAACTTAATTTGAAAGAAAACATTTCCTGGGTATCCTACTTCAGGGGGTGGGAAGGTACTGGGGTTTGAAGTCAGAGGCACTCAACTACTGAGCCACATCCTCAGCCCTATTTTGTATTTTATTTAGAGACAGGGTTTCACTGAGTTGCTTAGCGCCTCACTTTTGCTGAGGATGGCTTTGAACTCAAGATCCTCCTGCCTCAGCCTTCAAAGCTGCTGTGATATAGGCATGTGCCACTGCCCCTGGTTATTTTTTATCAGCACCCTACTTAGAAGATGAAATTGATAAAGAAAACTCCAAGAAAACATACTGAGAGAAAGCAAGATATACAATTCAAGAATTAGTTAAAGAAGACTAATGATAAAAAGTTCTAAAAGGGAGAATAGAGGTAATAAATTATCAAGGAAATTTCCCCAAATGAGGAAGTCTATCCAGAGCCAAACTCAAAGGATAAAAATTCCCTGTCACAAAACACAGCATTGTGAAATTACATGGCACTGATGACAAAATAATGAAAGATCAAGCCACATACAGAGAAATGAGAATGGTAAGATATCTCTGTAGGAAACATGGAGTGATGCCTTTTGAATTCTCAGAGAAAATTGCTTCCAATCTAGAATTCTATACCCAGCTAAACTGGCCATCAAATATGGAGACAGAATAAAAAAAAAATTAAAAAAACTTTTTTTTAGGCCTCAGGATCTTAAACTCTAACTTCCGTAAGCCTTTTTGTTGAAGATATTCCATAAAAATATGATAGTAAACCAAGAAAGAAGATAAGAACTCAGAAAGAGAGAGATATGAAGGAAATCTCTGAAAGAATGATAAAGGGGAATCAGAAGATGACAGTTGTACCACAGGCCAAGAGAATCACCAGTCCTGATTGGAGCAGTACAAAGGCTCCAAGTGGGATATCTACTCCAAAAAGAGAAATTTGATAGAATATATGATGTCTGAAAGCATTGAAAAAATGAGATATTTTTAATTCTGTCAGGGAATTTGGTTGTAAGTTAGTGATAAATATAGAGGAAAATCAAGAAAGTAAAAAAAAAAAGTGTGAAAATTATTATTGCTAGAGAAAAACCAAAAGTTATACAGGAGGAAATTTAATAGAAGTTCATTGCATGACTTAGTTGGGAATATTATTTACACAGTCATAATAATGTAAACTGGATATTAATCAAACAAAAGTATGATATAACTACATGGCATGAGGAAGAGTATGAGTCCCCGGGGGCATGTGGGTGTCAGTGTGTGTATATGTAGGGTATGTGCAGGAAAAGAAGCCAAGTTCTATAATCCAAAAGTTTGTACATAATATCAAATACAGAAATATCAAGAAAGAGCAGAATAAGTATACCATTAAAGAAGAGAAAAGCAGGACTGGGATTGTGGCTCAGCGGTAGAGCGTTTGCCTAGCGTGTGCGATATCCTGGGTTTGATCCTCAGCTCTACATAAAAATAAATAAGTAAAGCAAAGGTATTGTGTCCAACTACAACTAAAAAATAAATAAATAAATAAATAAATAAAAAGGAATAGAAAAGCAAATATGTAGGGAGGAAGCAAGGACTAATATTTGGTGTTACACATTTTCTGGAAAATTTGACTTTTAAAAACTATTTACCTTAATAAAAATAAAATTAACCATTCTAAAAGATAACAAATTTCATTTTGAGCAATATACTCAAAGAATAGCAATCATGACCAATGCAGGATTTATTCTGGGAATTCCAAGATGAGTTAATATCAGAAAATCTATTGATATAATTCATCACATCAATGAACCAAATTTTGAAAAACTATCATATCAGTGTTGAAAATATTCTGTAGAAAGTTTAATGTGTAATTACACATTTCTAAGTAAACTAGAAACAGAAGAACATTTATAAAATATATAGAAGAGGGCAGGAGAGTCCCCGCGTGAGCAGAGGGTGCCTGAGGCAGGGGCCAAGAAACAAAGTTCCCGGGGCTGCCTCCGGGGCCGCTGTCTGGGCTGCCTGTTGGGCCGCTCGCCGCCTCGCGAAGGCCATGGCTTCCAAACTCCTGCGCGCGGTCATCCTAGGGCCGCCTGGCTAGGGCAAGGGCACCGTGTGCCAGAGGATCGCCCAGAACTTTGGCCTCCAGCATCTCTCCAGTGGCCACTTCTTGCGGGAGAACCTCAAAGCCAACACGGAAGTTGGCGAAATGGCAAGGCAGTACCTGGAGAAAGGTCTTTTGGTTCCAGATCACGTGATCACACGCCTTATGGTGTCAGAGCTGGAGCTCAGGAGCGGCCAACACTGGCTACTGGATGGTTTTCCAAGGACAATAGTACAGGCTGAAGCCCTCGACAAAATCTGTGACCTGGATCTAGTGATCAGTTTGAACATTCCATTTGAAACACTTAAAGATCGTCTCAGTCGACGTTGGATTCACCCTCCTAGTGGAAGAGTCTATAATTTGGACTTCAACCCACCTCATGTGCATGGAATTGATGACATCACAGGTGAGCCACTCGTCCAGCAGGAGGATGATAAGCCTGAAGCGGTTGCTGCCAAGCTAAGACGGTATAAAGATGCAGCCAAACCAGTCATTGAACTATACAAGAGTCGAGGAGTGCTCCACCAATTTTCTGGGACGGAGACGAACAAAATCTGGCCTTATGTTTACACACTGTTCTCCAACAAGATCACACCTATTCAGTCCAAAGAAGCCTACTGAGCCTGTCCCATGGAAGAACCAAGAAGATGTGGTCGTTCATTCAATCGTGTGTGTAACATTGATGCCATGTCCAAATTAGAAGTCAGCTGAGATAGCTTACAGCATCTTTTCTGTGTAAATGGTGAACTGATAGGAAAACTAGTAAATAGAAAGGGCTCATGAAGAGGCCCTCCTCTGTCTTTCAAAAGAAGGCAACTCTGGACCTGTCAAGCCCTTCACAAGCAAGCCAGTGCAGGCTAGATTTCAGGTGTCTAACCTACACTCTAGTTGGGTTTGGACAGCCAAGTTGTTGCTTTAATAGCCTCTTTTTGCATGTGATGACGGTGGTCTCTGGTTCTCCCCACCCTTCCAAGGTATTGAAACACAGAACCAGTAAACACGAGAATGCAGAGGACTCTAGTCTTGGCTTTGCCACAGTTCTCTGCTTTGTGCCCCCTCGTAACAGTGGAATTGAAGCTTATTGCTCTCAGTGGTTGCTTCTCTTGAGTGACTGTGTTCACAATTCATTTTTTTTTTCCTGCTAAGAGTAACGCCTTTCATCCATGCTCCATGGTGTCCCTCCTTTGCAGATATCCTGGAATGAAAGGATTTGTTTTCTTACATCTGTTTTCTCTCATCTTAGGATATTAAATAGAGGCTATTAAATAATACAGATAGTTGCTGCATTTATCCCTCTCAAATTTGTTTTTTTATGAACTGAGAGCTAGGGGTTACATTGAATCTCTTCATGCATCATGAACTGAGCCATGCAGAGGGTCTTATTTAAATGCTGGTCTGATTCTCATGGGCTTGTTCTGCTCATTTTATTGTGAAAAAAAATGAGAACCTCCCCCGCTGAATCTTTTGGAATCCTCAAAAATTAATCTATAGAAATGTTGGAAGATCATATTTTGTGTATAGAGGAAATAAGACCATATGGAATTACTGGACTAATAGAATAGTTAAGCTTTTTATTCAAGACAACAAAATGAATTTTGAATATGCTGCTAAATATTGATGGTGACAGTGTTTTTTCTTCTGTGAGTGATCCAAGCCGATTTATAAATAGTCTTTAAAGGGAACAGAGCCTTGTGGGGTTGAGGAAAATATTGCACTAGCTGTATCTAGATTAAGTTTGACAGCTTTACAACCCCCCATCCCCCCATTCCAAAGATGCAGTCTATGGGGTGGCCATATAGCCTAGAAATAAAGATCTTAATATTTTGCTATTCCTTGTATCAATAAGTCCTTTGTTAAAAGACTTTCCTGGTTTCCAGACTTGGTGGCCACCTTGTATAATTCTTGCTCTTTTTTGGAAAGAACAATGAAGTTTATTCCTGCTGCCTTAAAAAAAAATAAATAAAATATATAGAAGACTACCAAAATTAAGAACAAACATTCCAAATGGCTGAAGGAGAACGGTAAGAGGATGTTCTTGAGGGGTATCAGCTTCTGCAATATGAGGAACCTTTTCCTGTGAAGTTATGAAATGTAAGCTCTATCTTTTCTGAAATTCCAAAATGTGCAGGGCCACATGTATTAGAATCACTTTTTAGAGTCGCAGGAATCTACATTTCAAACAAGAGCTCTAGGTCATTCTGTTTTATATTAACATTGAGAATGTTAATATAAAATATAAAATCCAATGGAAGTGACCAGAGTATTTGAAATGAGAAGCAACAGAATCAGATTTCCAAAGACCTTCTCCCCCCCACCCCGGCCCCATTCTGCTCCAGTCTACCCTTCCCTGAGTCATTGCAATGGAGGCTCCATAGAGTTGTTTTTATAAATCGACTGCACTGTTTCCTATGGAAGAGTTGGGTCACTTGACTCCCATGCCAGAAAAGTTAGTGGAAATGGCCTGGTTCCTGGAGCATCATGCATTATCTGATTCACAGAAAACAGCAAGATAACATATTTCTGAGGCAGGGAGAGGAATACATGCTGGGTCTCATTTGAAAAATCTTGAAACTTGGATTTGAAAATGTGTTTGTTTGTTTAATTCCGTAAACAAAACTTAAAATAGCTCTTAGAGGTAGTCAGCGCCAGTTTTGCAAATGTTGAAGAAAGGAAGTAGGATAAAGGAATTCCTCTGGGTGGATCTCAGAGCCTCCCTGGAGCCATTTTCTTTCAGACTTTGGTGACATCAGTCTAGAGATGCAGATGGGCTTTCTGGAGAGATCCTGGGGAGTTAACAGCCAGAGGACTCTCAGCAAACTTAAAATAACATGAAAAAATGGTCCTTCTCACAACCTGGGTCTAAAGAACAAAGGAAATGACTGAGCAACCCACAGAAGCCTTCCCCAGCCCTGGGAGACTCTGAGCACAGAAACATAGTGCTTCTTAAAGTCAAGCATGCGTAAGAATCACCTGGAAGGCTTGTAAAAATGCAATTGCTGAACCCCTGGCCAGCATTGCTGATTTTGTAGACTTGGTTTCAGCTTGAGATTTTGCATTTCTAACAAGTACCCAAACAATGGTGCTGCTGCTACTCAGTGGAACCACACTTGGAGGACCACAGCCCTGCAGTAGGCAAAGGAAAACCTCTCATCAAGATCTTCTTTGCCTCGGCCATGACCTTGTGACCCTTCTGAGGAATAAGAAAGAATGCCAGTAGGAAGGATGCTGGGGTCACACAGGTTTTCTGAGGTGTAATAAAACAATTGGCTTGAGGCCAAGAAATAGACCTAGGGCTACTTGACTAGATGCTATGCACCTGTTTGTAGCACTCAAATCACAAACATCTCATGAGTGCCTATCATAATTATAGCTACCTGCTCTGACTTGAGCATGGTTTTTTCCCCAAAACTCATGCAAGACGTTTAAACTCCACATTCATGTGTTAATTATACTAAGAGGGTGGAAACTTAATCCAACAAGGGTGTCTAGAAGTGAGACCTTTGGTAGGTAATTACGATTACAGAAGGTCATTAGGATTGAATCCTGGTAGCTTTATTATAAAGAGGTAAAGGCTCTAGACACACAGATATGGAAATGCCACTCCTATCTCTTCTATATGACGTTCTGTGCTGCCTTGGGACTTTGCCAGCAAGTTGACCATCACTAGATGTGCCCCCTAGACCTTGCATCTCTAGAACCATGAGCCCAAATGAACTAGAGATTGAATCCAGTGGTGCTCTATCACTGAGTTTCATCCCCAGCACATGTTATTTTTTAAAATTTTGTGATAGCATCTCACAAAATTGTCCAGGCTGAACTCAAACATGTGATTCTCCTGTTTCAGCCTCCTAATAGCTGGGATTTCAGACATGTGCCCCCATGAGCGTTGCTAAAATGAGCCTGTATTCTTTATAAAGTAACCTGTCTCAGGTATTTTGTTATAGTAACAAAAAGCTGACTAATACACTACCATTTATTGAATGCTGTCCATATGCCAAATACTTCATAAACATTTAATGTTCACAGCAGCCCAATCACTACCTCTACACTAATCTTGCTAACATATTCCCCATATTCCCAAAGGTTGACCCTTTGGCCTGTGTATCTTTCCTTTGGCCTGTGTATCTTTCCTTTGGCCTGTGTATCTTAAGTTCATGGCAGAGGTTCCTATAACAAAAGAAATATTAATAAGAGAAAAGCATAAAATTGTACTTAACACAAGTTTTACATGACATGGGAGCCTTTGTTAGGAAATGAAGACCTGAAGGAATGGGTATTTTTTGTGTGCTAGGCTTGATGAAGAAGTGGGTAGTCATGGTGAAGTATGAATGGCCAATGTATAGTGTAATGATAATGGCCTTATGGTCACTTAGCTAGGCTTCTTTGTCTAGATTGCTCTCAGTGTCTCTGTTTCTTCAGAGATACGGGTGTTCCTTTCCTTTGGGTATAGGGTGTACCTCTTAAATGAGGGTCTTGGGACCTACTTCAGGGGAAGACCAGAAAATCCTTCCTAGGTTTTAGGACATGCTGCAAGGGAGTTGGGGGAAGGTAAGCTGACCTAAATGCTTCTTCTCTTTTCTGGAATGCCAACATGCCCCCATATTTTGAGGTAGTATGTCCTGAACCCCATCATCTGGAATGTGCCTCTCCCATAGCTCTAAGGGCTTAGCACAAATACCCACTTGTCAGAGAATCCTTTCTGGTCACCCCATCCAGGATCTCAGCCACCATGGCCATACTTCCTGCCACACTTTGTGCTGTTTTCTCTCCTGGGCATTTGTCACGAACATTCTACATATTTTGCCTGGTTTGTTTATTATCTATCTCCCTCATAAGCACCCAAGTACAAGGACAAAGACTGTGCCATTGTTATGACATAGTCAGGTACATAGAGCCTAGATCTTTCTAGTATGCAGAATCAGTCATTAATGGGCAACATAAACAAATGAAACTTTGAGAGGGTCGAGCCTTGTTTTGCAGGGACATTCAGAATTTGGTGACATGATGATTAGAGCCTATCAGTTAAAAAACAACACATCTGGATTGGTTGAAGCTGCTTACATATATGGGAAGAAAATAAGTAGAAATTAAAACAGAAGATGAGAATTGGGGGCAGGGTTGGGAGCATGCTGAGGGGAGAAGCAGCTCAATTAGGACACCACTTACTTTGGCCCTGGGGGGCAATTCTCCCTCAAGGCCAAAGGTGGCTCTGAGCCAGTGGGTGTGTCCCTTTGGCTCTTATTGGGTACAAAATACAACTGCTGTAGTCAATACAGGGAGAATCCTGCCCAGCCCAGGCTCTGGAAAGCAGGATTCATTTCTGAAGCACAAAAAGTTTGTTGAAAGAGCAGCTTTCAAATAGTCGAACCATCTGACTCTGGAGGGAACTAGAACCAGGTGTCCACCAGGAGGTGGGGGTCAAAGGGAGGAATCTGCATAGGCACCAGCTTCCAGCCAGATACCAGACAATCCTGAGGCAAAAGGAAGATCTAGACCTAGGGTTTAACTGTGCAAACAGACTTAGTTGGGTTGGCCCCATTATCTGACAGAGTCCTTGCCACATGGAAAAATTAAACATTTCTTCTCTCAGCACCTGGTTCTAACAGACAGCCTGGAGTGTTGTCTACTTGGCAATGACATAGATTCATTTGTTAATGAACTCCAAGGACAGTCCACGTGTCCTGGCCAGCATGGCCCATCTCTTATTTGAACATAGAAAAAAACCAGGGCTTGAGCTCTTGAGTTCATTGTGCACACACAGACAGGTGCTCTGTTATGCTTCTTAGTGCCATACCATGTGATCAGAGAGAAAAAGGGATATAAAATAAAAACCAACAAACAGACTTCATCCACAGTGATCAACTGACCAGCCACGAGATTGAATCCAACTTAATGCTACAAACAGTAGTTGCAGAAATCAACCTAGACTAGGAAATCCTCTTTTCTAAATAAAGGCTGAGAAGAGAATGTGACGATTGGGTTTCCCAGGCTGAAGTTTCTCAAGGCATGGAGTAGGGAATTGATAAACCTTACTTCCTTCTCCAACAGGAAGCTGGAAGGATCTACTATGTGCTATTGAGTGAAGACTGTGCATTGTGTAACAGCAGTCCCAGGGCAAGCTGTGAGGAGCCTGAAGAAGGAGGTGTCAGGCTAAAGCCTGGGTCAAGGGTAGTGGAACTGCTGATAAAGTTTACTTAACAAAGGATTTCTAGCATAATGCTAAGTGAAGTTAGCCAATCCAAAAAAAAACAAATGCTGAATTTTTTCTCAGATGTACAGAGACTGATTCATAGTGGGGTTGAGAGGGGGAGCATGGGAGGATTAGATGAACTCTAGATGGGGCAGAGGGGTGGGAGGGGAAGGGAGGAAGCATGGGGGTAGGAAAGATGGTAGAATGAGATGGACATCAAGTACATCTATAAAGACACTAATGGTGTGAATATACTTTGTATACAACTAGAGATGAAAAATTGTGCTCTATATGTGTAATATGAACTGTAGTGCATTCTGCTGTTATATATAACAAGTAAGAATTTTTTTTAAAAAAAGGTTTCTAGGTCAAATATATTTGAGACCTGTTAAGTTGAACCAAATTAAACTCATCTATTGCCTGTGTTCTTTCATAGACTAATATGCACTGGGCATCTACAAAAGAGGACGAGGAATAAAGTGTTTCTCAAATATATGACTACTGGTGCCTTTTTATAGAGCACCCATATTAGAAAAAAACTGCTCTAAACTTGTTATCCGCATGTGCACATGCTGGGGAAGAAGGCTGTGGTCTGTGTCGCATTTAATAGGTAAATTCATTAGGTTGGTAGGGAAAGGT